TACATTTATTTATTTATTTATTTATTTATTTATTTATTTATTTATTTATTGCACCTCTGTCTTTTCCCTTGAGAGCTCAAGGTGGCATGATCCCAAATTTTTATCCCCCAACAGCCCTACAAAGTAGGTTGGGCAGAGAGAGAAAGCTAGCTAGTGTGCACTGTGGTCATGTATGGACCTGGACTCCCTGGCTTTCATTTTAAGAAGGTCACTTCATGAAGAAAGAAAGTAGGGTAGAGTGTATCTAGCTAACTGGTTTGAAAACCAAAGACCTGACATAAGATAAGCTACAAAATACTCTTTGTTATTATATTTATTGCTACCAGTCATGTAATTAATCATTCTTTTCCTAGGCCCACAAGAATCCAGGCGTATAGCTTAGACGAGAAGATTTCTTTATTTTTTTATATATTACATTTATATCGCCACCCATTTCACACCAAGCGACTCGGGGGGCATCCAACAATGAAATAAAATAACAGATAGATAAAAACAATCATTATAAAAGATTAAAAACGTGATTATTCAAATACAACATTAAAAAGTTTACATGTTTTACATTTTAAAATATACAAACCCCATGGAGAGAGCATCTTAATCATAGTGGAGCCATCTAAACCACCTAATCTGCTCTTTTTTCAGAATTTTCTTTGATATCTGTACAATCAAATTAACAGGTGTGCCCTTTGTGAGCAAGAACAAACCAAGTTACCCAAAACAACCAAATCACTTCCCACGTCCAGTTGTGTATATTTGCTAAAGAAGCAAGCAGAGGGCAGTTGTAAAATAATGCAGGCAATTCTCAGCAAGACGTAAAGATTTGTTATTGATATACTCAAGGTCAAACAGTGAGTGACTTGGTTAGTTAGAGGTTGCAAACACAGGTAGAGAATTTTCCTCTCTTATTTAGATTTTACAGCAAAGTGCTTGGTGCCTTGGGTTCATGGAGTTAAATCAGAGGCTTATTTCACTGTTTATAACAAAGCGTTAAGAAGAACAGAATAAGGGAGGGCAAAATTTTGGTGATCACGACAGCTGCATTCAATCTCGCATGCCATACTGAGTTAAAAAAGTGATGGCGGGCAGGAAAAACTGGGCAAGGTGTAAAAAGAGAAGGTGGGAGGAGGCTTGACGGATGTTTAAAAGGACATGGCATTTTCAAGAGAACCAAAAGAAGGGCATGAAATTAAAAATCTTAGGAGACAAGGCTGTCCATGCTTGCATATCTTGGCCTCCACCACTGTCCAATATAATTTTTCTAAACTGAAGATAATTTTTTCAAACCAGCAACATATATTTTTTTAAAAATATAACACATTTATTGTATTGTGTCTTGCTGGGGTATGAGAATATGAATTTTAAAAGCAAAGTATTCCAACTCCAAAATATTGCTGAAGTTCAACAGCGCGTAAGCCTTAAATACAGAGTATTGAACAATTTTGTTGACTTTTCCCCCCAACCCGTAATCCTTTCATATATTTAGTCCTAAACATTACCTACTGTTTCCAAGTGATTTTGCGCTGAAATTCAGCAACAGATTGTCGTTTCTGGTGGCTAATAAAGTTTTTGATAGCAAATAAGGAATGGCCCCCTTCAGCTCCCCAAATCAGGGAAGAGGGGGAGATTGCATGCAGGCCATTGGTGACCCACCCCTAAATTGAAAGACTCCCCAAGAAACAATTAGACATGATCTGAGAAAAAGCAAGGAATGAATTCTCTTCTCTTTCTCTTAATGGAGAATTTGCATGGAGGGAAATTCCAATGTGACGCTCTGCAGCTCAATCAGAAGGTACACCATGATTCTTTGGAATATATAGAAGAGATATAACTTTAAAATGATCTGAGGGAGCCTGTGGCGATGCAATTTAAGGGATAGAGACATCTAAGCCTTTGGTGGGCCTGGGGTCTCAGAAATGATATTGGGATAAAACTGAAAGGAACTTGCATGCACCAAGGCTGTTGCTCCATGTAGCTCATGGGATTAGATTCAAAGAATACTTGAGTGGCTTAAAAACAAACATGCAGACCATTTGTTAATAACCTTCTCCCACAAGTGGAGAACCATTCACACCATCCATAATAAAGTCCCCAACCTATGTTTATAAAATGAATGAATCTTCTTTGGCGAATGGGAGTGCTGGGGGAGCCTGAACACTGGATTCTCACATTTCTTTTAAGGTTACAGGAATAGACAAGCTTATTTATCTCAGGGGGATGATGTGGGTGTCAAGAAAGCACAGCAAATGGCTAGCCAATTTATTCATGCTTTATTTATCTATTTAGATTTTATTAATGTATTTATTTAGATTATTTAGATTATTTTTACCCTCTTCCGTTCTCATGTACTTCTGAGAGGTGGTTTTCTTTTCTGTCGTTATTTGTGTTCCCCAGAAATGTTTTGGAAATATATGAGTGGGGAAAAAAAAAAAAATCCAGGACAGTAGGTTGATCTTATTACACGCAAACAAAAGTCAAGAGTTATATTTTGGGAGAAGTATACATTCATTCATTCATTCATTGACATAGGATGATCATGTAGATCTGGGGCTCTCAGAAGTCACCAGAAATAATAGTAAGTGTTCAAAATATTTATTTATTTACTTATTTGTTTATTATAAAGTTATGACCCAGCTTTCTGCTTATTTAAGGGGGTGAACAATAGATTGATTGATCACAACTCATTCGAAACTCCAAAACAATCAAACCATATCAAGCATATTCCATGCAGAAAGCACTTCACTCTGTCATGGCATACCATCTTTGAACGTTGATGTGCTGGCTGAGAAGCATCTTGACATAATACAGGAAAACAATTGCAAAAAGTATGTTATTATGTGTGTTGGACATGTGGCTTGATTGCTGTTAGCTCTTTATAATGAGATGTAGTTTCATTATACATAAATCCAAGGATTATCTTACAGCATAATGCGGTACATTTTCTCAAAAGTAGATCATCGTGGGCTTAGTGCCTACACTTTAGGATTGCAGGCATTAAACCTATGGTTCCTATAACTGGTTGGTGAAGACAGAATATCAATTATGTGAATTAGGCACACCTTTTAGACAATGGAGAACTTGCTTTAGCCTGTACTTATTGCTCATTTGTACCCCAAAGCCCTAGGAGAATATTTCATGAAATATTAAACATATGCCAAACATGAAAACTCAATTCATATTTTCCATCGCTAGCACATCTATAAATATGCCCATGACTATCTGGATTGATTGTGAAATTGGGCCAATCCTGCTCTATCTTGTCTGTATTAAAAATGTCCATTCAGCTTTTTCGCTTGATTTCTGAATACAAGATATAATGATGAATAAAGTGCACAAAAGTAAATTGTTCATTGAAACGCTGCATATTATCAATAAATACCAAATGCACATACCAAAGGATAGTCTCCATTTTCCAATCTGTGCACATTTTAACTGTAACCTATTGAAATGTATTTATTACAGCTGCTATTTGAATCAGCTGTAGCATTAACACTCTTTCAGAAACTGTCTTACTGTATTTGTACTCATATTTATAACCAAGCAATATCCTTTCCCAACTTAAAGTCCTTTAAATGTGAACTTGGAATATTGTTTTATAGAATGCTACTTCTGTAGCATAACAAAAGACAGACATCTAGGAGATTTTTCAGATTTCTGCTGGAACTCTGGAAGAAGAAGATGCACCAAAAGATGAACGGGATCTTGAAGGTCTTGCTCCTTAAAAAAATATTTTTATATGTTAGGGATGGATGGATAAAGAAAAAACTACATTCAGCTTTCATAAGTTAAGCAATTCAAACACAGAAGCATGCCAAAAAAGATGGTGCACCAGAAACCTGATCTGTACCACTTCCTCTGGCGTTTTTATCAACATTTCTCCTTGTTAGGAAATTACACTGGCTCAGTTTTGCAGAAGGTTTGCAAAACCTAATATTGGCAATGATCAGGTAAAAGCGAAAAAAAATAATGACATAATTTCTATAATACAACCTCCTGGTCCTATAATGCAGAGGCATGAGACTAAAGATATGAGTTCTCCCTGCCCCCATTTTTCAAAGCTAGTTCAATCTCACAAGGGATACATAAAATCAAACTTTATTGAAAAAATATGAATATATTTTTGTTTAGGGATAAAATGCAATTTACAATTTATAGGGCATTCAGTAACTGCAATTAATTCATTGAATTAAACAAAAAAAATATAAGGCTTCCAGCAGACTGCAAGATGTTACTGATCTGTTTCAAATCATCCATGCTTCTAGTTTACATAGCACAAAAACTTTTCCAAGGAAAGATGATCTCAAGAAGTCTGGAAGAAAGAGGTATCCTACTGCATATCTTTTTTCTTGCAAGCTTTCATTTGCTGCATTTGCAGAGAGAGGAGAGGTAAGACAAAGCTGCAGTTCTTGGCTAAAACTGCCAGATCTGGGTTCCAAAAAACCAAATCGCCACTACATGGAAGAGAGATACCGGAAACTTTCTTGACACCTCTTGTCCATCTCAGTTTTTGCAGCCCAGATCTGGTAACCATATTCTTGGTAGTACTCCCATACACAGTGGAATACTTAGCACATGATACTGAATCAAAATTTAGGAAGCTTGTTATGGATCCGTACAGTGAGTGGACCCGAGCCATTTTGTCCTATTAAACAAATCATGTTTAAATAAACTAAGCAAACCATTATTACTCATATCATTTGAGGGAAACATCTCACTCTTTAAGATTTAAAATGTGCATTGGGATAATTTCTCAATTTAGCCAATTTAAGGCTTCTGAAAAATATGCAAACATTTGAGATGTTTTTAGTCTCATCAGGTAAGGCATTAGAAGAAGCAATTCAAGAAGAATGGAGATTGAAAAGTTATATGGAAACAGAAGTTATGACTCCTACTGTTTGAATCTCAAGATAGGGGGGGGGGGGGGGGAAGAGGAGACTATAGATATTTAAGTTGAGCTCAGAAAAAAAGAAACAAACATTTCTTGCAGTTCTGAAAATATGAAGTCCAGCTACAATTCATTGGATTATTGGATTATTGGAATGTTTGCATTCTCCTTGGACATTTTCTTAAGACTGGCTTTTCTCTCTGCCCAGCTGATGTTTGCAACAATTAGTCAGATTAGTCAGATCTGGAGATCTTGAAATATTGCATGATGTTGTGTGGACTTATTAAGGACTAACCTTTAAGATGGATTTTTGCAGCCTAGAATATGGCCAACCTATTGGGTGGTAAAAGGTACCCCACCCCCCGTACACTTGTAAACTCGATTCACTACACACCCATGGGATGCCCCCCCCTCCTCACCCTCCCCACACTAACAACTCC